TCATCATCTGGGCAAGGCTCTGGCCATGGCCACCAGACCCCTCTGACCTTCCAGGAGGGTGGTTAGTGTGGTCTTCCTTAGAGGTCCCTGATAAGGGTGGAGGAAGGGCTCTGAAGGAATTAACATTTCAGTCCTTCAGAGGACAGTCTCCAACTTCCCCGACCCACTCAAAATTGCCTCCTTTATCGACCTGACTCGATTTACCTATCTACACTGACTGCCTGCCTAATTCTGGCTTCACCCTAATTTGAAAGATTTAATCTCATAACTCTTGGTTTGTGTGAACGGGAGGAAATTATTTTACTTGAAAGTAGCTTATGCTAAGGGATGAGTTTTGGTTTTGTTTGTTTTAATAAACAAAAAGCTGTGTGTGGAAAGTGTTAGTACTTTTCCTTGAGTAAGGGAGTTTAGAGGWGAAGGGCTTTTCAGTTCGGGTCTCTGTTGATTAGCAGTGTAGCTGCTTCATTTAGGGGAATTGTTTTGTGTATGGATGGTACAAGAATCAGTGTCACTGTGGTTTGGTGGATGGCCATTTTAAGTGTCAGATCAGCACCTGGTTGATGGCATTGGCTCCTMATTACTGTGGCCTCCGGTGTACTCACTCTGCAGCTGCAGCCTGCTCTGCTGGCCACATCCTGGACTCTGCATGTCCCTCGTCACAGTATACCCTTGTGTAGCAGATACAGCACCACTTTTCTTTCTGAGAAGTGTTTCTTTTTCTTTTTTTTTTTTTTTCCTGACTCTTCAGAGTCCCTTTTTGAATCTCTTTCCATTACTGTCATGCTGTCTTTCCCTGTTAGGGCCTATCTGGAGATCCTTGGCTCCACATTTGTCTGTAAGTATAGTATGCTAAAAAGCTGATTGAGTGGGGTTTTTGTAGGAGATAGACCATGCTATAGCACAGCTGTCAGGGGTCTGCCATTTTTATTTTATTTTTTTTTTGGGGGGGGGGGGCGTGTGATCATTGACAGATCTGTTCTCTTGCTGTATTTCCCYAGAGGGGAATCCTCCAGTCTCTTCCAACCTTGTTGTATAAACTCGACTGTCTGTTCCCACAGCTGTGTGGGCAGCAGGGGGATGCAAGCATCTTGGGTGGGCCCACCAGCCTGCGCACAGAGTTTTTGTTAATCCTACTTTTCCAGTTTAGTTTTTGAGTCTTCATGGTSTTAAAATACAGCCTTTCCGAAGAATAAACTCAGCCTCTAGGATGACAGCGCGAATGCYCTTGTCTTGGGAAGAGACTGTGGGGGTCTGACTTTTCCTTTAATATATTGGCCTAGCCTGTAGGCCTTCACGGGGCCCCAGGCCTGCGCCAGCCCCCAGCACCGCTTCCCCAGCACGCAGCTTTTGTGCTTTGCTCAGTCCCCTACTCCTTGGCAATCTGCTTCCCACTTTCAGAGGTCTGTTTCTTGCCTGTGGCCGTCTTCTTTTTCCACCAGTCTCTCTTAAATCCCTTTATTGCAGCTTCAGTGGTGGTTCAGGAGGGAGCAGAGGCAAAGGAGTGTTCATCTGCTCTGTTTCATGCAAAGTACCCACAGATTCTCTAATGAGCAGTAGGGGAGTGGGGAGAATAAAACCTCTATGGCTATAAATTTATCTTGTTTTATAGCATTTTAGGTTCAGCTCTTGGTGAAAAGCAATTTAAATAAAAGGTTCAAGTTGGAGAACAGTTGTTTATATTCACTTCATAATATTTCAACTCCTAGTAAATGTTAGGGGGAGATTGGAGACAAGTAGGATGGAGAAAAGATTTGCTTGCCTAAACAGCTGGGATCTTTGGATGACTGGATGGTGGAAGGTTCCAGGGCTCTGGGTTTTTCTGGAATTGTTATGTTTAATCTAGATTTCGTAGTGTTTTAAGTGCTGAGTTGGGGTTTATTGCGTGGACTTCAAAACTGCACAGACCAGCATTTGAATTCCTTCCTGCTTTGCTGTATGTGGGCCTTGAGCAAATTGTTGAACTTGTTCAAACCTCAATTTCCTGACCTAAAAATGGAGGAAATTATGCTCTTCTCCCAAAGTTACTAGGAATGGATGGAAAAATGCATTTAAGTGCTGGGTCTTGAGTGACCAGTGAATGCATGTTTTATTTACTTTGGTCTACTCTGGCTCTCTTTTGCTGTCGGGTGTTATGTATTATTTAATATGCATGGAAACCAGATTGGCCTGGTCTATGACCTCATGATTCTTCCCCTTTTTGTGGGAGGCTCACATTCTTGTCTTTAACTCTGCAACATACTAAGGCCTGAATAAGGGGATGCTGAGGAGGGGATGGGACAGTATTTGAACCTCCCTCTGTCCAAGTCCAGAATCACTGCTCTCAAAGTCCTGACTCCTTGGTGTGCAGCCTTTCTTAGTGCTTGCCTCTGAGTAGAACCATCACAGACGATTAGATGGACAGGCATGGATGCTTTCTGAAGGCTCTGTGTTCCATGTTCCAGCTATTCATAATAACCATTGTGTATTTTCATATAAAATAGCCTATATTTTTAAGAAAGTACTTACTAGCCAGATGTGGTGGCACACATTTGAAATCCCAGTGACGGGGAGGCTGAGGCAAGAGGATAGCAACTTAGTGATCCTATCTCAAAGTAAAAAATAAAGCTGGGGGTGTAGCTCAGTGATAAAGTGCTCCTTTACCTAGTGCCCCCCAAAAGTATTTACTATAAGAGTATTTTTTGAAGGATGCATTGGGTGATAGATTGAAGCCTGGAAGCAGATCTCTTTGGATTTGCTGTTGTCTCCATCCCRAAGAGTGCAGGTGAGCTCTACCTGTATCTTTAGAGCAGTAAGTATGACACTGGTTGTAGTCTTCAGACCGTAAAGGACTTTACCTCCCCTGTCTCCTTTAAATGGAAGAAGAAGGGAAACAAAGGTGTGCATAGTACAAACCAAAGTTGCACATGGTACACCTTTGTATATTTACTGGTTCTGTTTTTCTGTCCTGCTCAGGCCTTTTCCTGGGTCTGTCTCTTCCATAGAAAATTCCATAGCAAATTCCCCCATGCATATTTATATGTGGATATATGCGTGTTTTAGATAACATCTGGATACTGAGGCAGAGTTTCCATTCCCCACTTAGAACGTATTTTCCCCTACCCTCTGTAACCATTCCATTAACCTTAAAAGAAATTTCCTCTCTGATGGGGTTAAATAAATTATGAAGACAGATTCTTGATTAATACTACATTAGTCATTTAAAAATCATGGWTTCTGAAGTTAGAAATAGCATCCTTATTTGTGAAGCAACCTCTTTGGTAATGTGCTGCATCTTTAAATAGGCTACATTATCACTGGCTGGGAATTGGATTATTTTTCGAGTAGTATATATGCTTTTGCAATAAACCTTTAGATGGCAGCATCTCTCACCATAAACTATAATTTCAACAGAAGCTCACAGATGTACCTGGTGTTTGAGATAGGATGCTCAGTCTGCCCATGTCACCTCTTCACTGTGTGAGGATGGAGAAGAACCCTGGGATGTCCACACAGTAGCTCAGGGCTGCACAGAGGGCAGAGCCACAGACCCCTCCCTGGACCTCTTTCCATCACCCCTTCCTCTTAGTGATGCAAAATGTTTCTATCACTGTGGCCTTGTTAAAATTATAAGGCAACCACAGAGTCAAGTGGGTGTTTCTGGATCAGAAAGGAATATCGTATTTGGAAGAAGCAGATAGAATCTGGGAATCCTTTTGGCTTTTTAAGCTGTTTTAATTAGGTATGACTCRTATACCATACAATTCACATATAATTCATCCACTTAAAAGTATACAGTGCAGTTTTTATCATGTTCACAAAGTTATATAAATGATTGCCACAATTTAATTTTAGAACATTGTATTATTCCCAAAAGAATTCCCTTTGTCATCCCCCCAGGAGCCGGCGCATCCTCAATCAACCTCAGGCGAACACTCAAGCCTTTCATTTCTATAGGTTTGCCTCTTCCCGACATCACACATGAGCAGAATCATATATTAGGTGGTCTTTGGTGCCTGGCTTCTTTCATTTAGCATAATTTTTAGGTTTCATGTCACAGCATGAATGGGTGCTTCATTCCTTTTATTTCCCAACAGTTTTCCAGTGTGTGGCTATACACATCCTGTTTCATCAGTCAGTGGGCCTCTGGCTATTTCAAGTAATGCCACTGTGAATGTATGTGTACAAGTGTGAACATATATTCACACAGGAGTGGAATTGCTGGCTGTGTGGTGACTCTGTGTAACCTTCTGTGCCAAACTGTTTCGTCTTCAAGGTCTTCGTCCTTGTCCCTTTCCAGCAGCAATGAGTTGAGGGCTCCTTCTGGTCTTATTAAGAATTCCAGATCTTCTGCTGATAAGGTGGGGCCATGGGGAGATGAGACCCTCAGTTTCTCTTGTGTCCTGAGCTGTAGCTAGTCTGACTGTCTGGCCATTCAGAGGTAGCTCTTTCAGCCGCCAGAAAGTCTCATCTTGTGGGCCCCTCACAGTCACTGTGAGTCACCAGCCTGATAAGATGCCTTCACGCAACGGCTGCACAGAGCCTGTTGATATTACAGCTGGCTGTTTGTAGTCCTTGCCTTCCAGCTTTGGAGATACCAAGCAATGAAATCATCTTCATCCCAGTTAGAGGAAAATGGTGTGTGTGTGTGTGTGTGTGTGTGTGTGTGTGTGTGTATATATACAATATGAAACCCATAAAACCTTCACCACAGGCTATCCAGGTTTGGACATGTCAAAATCACCTCCTTGACACACAGTGAAGACAGCTGTAGAGACTTCAGAGAGGGGGACCAGGTTTCGTTTTTGCCAGAGTTTACAGTCTCCAAGCTGAGCTTACCCTGTTCAGCAGCCCAGACTGGAAGATCCCGCATCTGCTCTGAACTGTGTGTGTGTTCATGGGAAGGGAGGAGGCCGGCTCTTCCCTTAGCGTATTTGGGTCTTGGTAAGGACACACGCTGTATGTTCTGAAGCTYTGTTTGCATCTGGAAAAAATTAGCCACACTTAGATCTTTCCCACTGCAGGTCCCGTCAGGAAGCCCAAGTATGTGGAAAGCCCCAGGGTGCCTGGAGATACAGTTATAATCCCGTTCCGAGAAGTGTCCAAGCCCACAGAGCCAAGTGAGAATGGTAAGGACATGTTTTCAGTGACTTCTCCCTCCTSCCTTAAGACTGTCTGGAAGGGCTCTCCGTGTCTGAGGGAACCCGGCGTGCCCCTGCTGGAACACTGCACTGCACTGAATGTATTTGGGAGGATGTTTTCCTCGGGCAGTTTATAGAGATCTACTTGGCTGGTGTAAATTCTTGGAATTATATAAGCAGGGTGACAATAGTTGAGTGGTTGTACGTGCATTAAGGGTTGGGTCTTGTTTCCTCTGAGTTTGGGGAACATGAAAAGTCAGCCAGTAGACAGCAAGATGTCTTGTTAATACTTTACCATTTCAGAATATTCAGCACCAGGCTTTAGCTGAAAAGCTGAAACTCACGCAAAGCTTATCATAGCTTTCTTAAGGGAATTTGGTAACTTTCAAAAGCCTGTATATATTTTTTTAATCTCTGAAAGTTTTCCTTAGGCGATGTGGTTGTAGGGACCCCCAAAATAAATAAAAATCCAAATTGATTGAAACCTTTTCATGAAGACATTTTATTTTGGGGGGGGTAGGGGGGAAGRTTCGGTTTCTTTGTCTAAATCCCCAAATAAGCATAACAGGCACTGTGAGCTTGTAGCATGCTGTACTTTCATTAATAAATAATTCTTTATTTTTTAAGCCAATTCAAGATTTACCTCTGTGTACTTTTCTGAGGAGTTTGCATCTCACAACTCTATAGACTTTAATTTGGGTGTTTGGATTTTACATCATTTTCCTGCAGAAACAAGAGGTTAAGATTCTTGTCCTATTTACAGAAGCTAATTTTGCCCCAAGAGTGGACACAAGTTTATGCAGTAATGCTCAAAGAAAACTTAGGAAAGGAAATGYATCCATGTTTCCACTTTGAAATACCAGATCCCCTCCTCAGCCCTATTGTTTGAAGGGGACAGCCCTTCTGTGTTTCAACTTGCATGTGTGTTTTGTGTTTCTATGAAGTATGGCAGGAAGTAGGATGTGGTAGGAGAGTGGAGTGGAGTGGTGGTGAAAAGAGAGCTCAAAATGAGCTGAAAGGGGGATGTTGGCAGAAGCTAGAATCAGGAAGTTTGGAATGGGTGGAGGAGGAAATGGCATGGGCACGCCGGGCCAGCAAGAGGTGCTGTTGTAGGCATCCTGGCATGAAGTCCGCCCTTGTCCTTTCTGGCCAGGCCCCAGTTGTGTGGTAGAAGAGGCTCTTGCCACTGATTTGGGCAGAGCAGGGCGTGGCACTGGGTGTGTGTGAGAAGGTAGAAATCTACTGTGGTGTCCAGTTAGGACAGCCGTGACTGATTAAAAAAGTCTCTTTGGGGTGTACATTTGCGTGTGCAGACCACCTATTCTGTCATTTCTGTTTTGTGTGTGAAAAGGAAAACAAAAATCAACTCCTGATGTGAATATCTGTCATTGAATTTCCTGAGCTGAGTTCACATTTCAGATTAAGCCTGCYACCCCTACCCCTCATCCCCACCTGCCTGTCAAGTCATTGCAACCCTAGCAGATCATGGTGCTGGTGTTGTGACTGGCCAAGACACCATGGTATGACTTCCTCCTCCATGACTGAGAATGTTGTTGGGATTTCTGTGTAGGGCACTCCTAAGGCATGAGTGGGAGAGAGAGTTAGGATTTTTATGGCGCTAGGAAAGAAGGTTATAAATAGTTACCATTGTCAACTTTTCTCCCCTTGCCCAAGGCAGAATTGGCCACCTTTCTTGGCAAGAGGAGGTGTTCTTGGGCTTGGCTGTGGTCCGAGCTAAATTCAAGAGCAGCTATTGGCCTGGCTGGAGTGGCCAAGATTTGCATGTGTGCTCACTCCTGAGACCTGAGCTCTCTTACTCAGCCTCTTCAGGACCTTGGCGGCCAAAATTAACGCCATACACGGGCTGCACATACAGGACCTGAGGTTTCCATTTGGGCTCCGATTAAGAAACGTGGTACATTTTCATTTCTTTTAGTGTGGATTTAGGGGTGGTTCACRATTATGGGCACATGACCTGTGTGAAGATAGCCCTGGTGCTGGTATGAGCTGTAGTAGCTACTSAGTTGGTGAGGTGGTGGTGCTTGCCCAACAGAATTGAACTTGACAGTTAGCAAAGGGTGATGTGCTTTGTAACCCTCATGGAATCTTTTACAGTTCCGTGGAATGAAGACTGCCATATTAAAATGTAAATTTTATGCACAGTTCATTGAACCTAAAGGAGAGGCTTCGGAGCTAAAACTAATTGAGTTTATTAAGCCCAGTCATGTACAGACACATAATGGGCAAACTCTAAGGTTTGGGACCAGCATTGTCTCTTAAGTTTCACTTTAAAATTTGGACTTCTGCTTCCCATACTTCCTTTGGGTATTCTTATTTAAGTCTCTCTGACACTTCTGGGTGCTGTTAATAATAGCATGTCAGTATTCACCAGACTGTGGACAACAGCTCCTTGTGAAATGTCTGCTTTCATGTAGATTTGTGAAATATCAAGTTACTCCTAAATATTTGAAATAGTCTTTTCAGACTRTGTTGCCTCACTTTTGCTTTGGTGGCCATGTAGCTATATCAATCCTTAATTCTTGGTTATATGAAATTTAAATGGAAGTAAAACAAAACCACTGAGCACTTAAGATTTGTTGATTAATTTATAAGTACTTTTGTTGTGTAATTTGTGAGTTAGTTTAGCCATCTGGAAAGTGGGTTCAATTACATGACCTGTGTTTTTAAATTTTTGTTGTTTTTGGAAAGCGAAGAAACTGTGTATTGAYGTTTGCATTCACCCGGATACATCTTTAGGAAAAAACATGCTACCATATTTAGTATTTTTATTCTTTTGGTACTGGGGATTGAACTGAGGGGTACTTTAACACTGGGTTACATCTCCAGTCATTTTTACTTTTTATTTGGAGATAGGGTCTCATTAAATTGCTGAGGCTTGGCCTTGAACTTACAATCTTCCTACCCCAATCTCTGAATTCCTGGGATTATAGGAATGTGCCATTGCACTCAGCTTCAGTATTTTTACATATTTTTGAAACACAGAATTTTCTACTCTGGACAGAAAAAAAAAAGAAGATTGACTTAATGAAGCCTTAAATACAATATAAATCCTCTTTTTTTTTCCTCCTGTTTAATGTCCTAAAAAGCTATGTGTCACATAAGATAGGTTCTTTATAAATAAGCTTGCTGTCAATTAAAACAACATATTACTTTTTGTGGGGATATGTCATTTACCCCCAAAACAATACCTCTGCCTTAGTGGAAAGGGAAAAAACCCAAATTAGGACTCACAACTTTATTTCTTTGAATTAAGGACAACCATCCATATTCACTTAGGGTTGCTTTACTATATCATTAGCAACTTGAGCAAGCTTTGATGGGGAGGGGTGAGAAAGTTTTTAATCTCATGAGTCATTGCTCATTGAAGATCAATCTCAGAATATGACGAAACTTTTTTTTTTTCTGGTAGTCTGGTTAGCAAATGAAATTGACCCACGTGAAACAACAGAATAACTAAATGTAGAAAAGGGGGTCTTTTAGATAATGTTTAAATATTTCATTGATTACTATTTCAGACATTCAAAGATGTAGAGAATGAAAGAGGTATGAAAAATAATGGCATTTATCAGCCCATCACCTAGTTAAGAAATAAAACATAACTGTGTATTTCCTCTGATCATTTTATCTTTCCTTTCCCAAAAGGTAGCCTTAATTCTGCTTTATCTTTAATTTTCAGCTTCTTAAAATGGTGACGAACCATTTAACTAATGGCTGAATAAGATTTAGTTAGATGAGAGTTTAGAAGTGGGCATGCTTGGTATGTGTCCAGTGGGAGAGGGGCTAGAGGTGGAGAAGCCATTCATTCTACATTACCTTCAATAAATATTTTTTTAAAAATATTTTTTTCTGGGAATTGAATTCAGGGTCTTTATTGCTGTTTTACATCTCCAGCCTTTTTTTCCCCTTTAATCTACAAATGTTTTATTTACTACCTCTACTTTTAACATAGTCTATGCACTTCTAAATATTTAAAAAGACTAGATGTTTCAAATAAGGAYATAAGTTTGTCCACTCCCTGCCCTTTTTATTTTTTATTTTGAGACAAGATCTTGCTAAGTTGCCAAGGCTGGCTTTGAATTTGGCTTTGAATCTTCCTGTCTCAGCCTCTCGTGTCTCTGTGTTACAGGGGTGCAATACAATGTCTGGCAATATTAATTGAATGTTTAAGCTGTGAAAGGCAGTATACCAGATGCTATTTAAGATGAGTTGTCAAGGGCCTGGGTTGGGGCTCAGTGGTAGAGCACTTGCCTAGCATGCGTGAGGACTGAGTTCATTCCCCGGCACTACATAGAAATAAACAAAATAAAGGTATTGTGTTCATTTAACTAAAAAAAAAAATTGTTAAAAAAAAAGATGAGTTATTAAGCTAAGTGCCTGTGATCCCAGTAACTCCAGAGGCGGGAAGATTGCAAGATCAAGACCAGCCTCTGCAACATAATGAGACCCTGTCTCAAATAAAATAAACAAGGGATGTGGCTTAGTGGTAGAATACCCCTGGATTCACTCCCCAGTACTRGGGGGGAAAAGTCTTCAAGTGTTGGTCCTTTCTTCACTGAGCCTTAGTATCTGGTGGGGGAGTAAAGACCTGCCTACAGAGTGACTAATTCAAAGGAGGAAATACTAATGTGAGGTGTGTGATAAATTGAGAGTTCAGCATGAGGAAGACTTAATTGGTGCCATGCTTTAAGATGTACCGGGTATCAGTCCATTCAGGCTGCTCTAACTAAACAACCATAAGCAAGGTGGTTTATAGACATCAGAAATTGATTTCTCACAGTCCAGGAGCTCAMGAAGTAAAAATTGAGGTGTCTGTAGATTTCATGTCTGATGAGGGCCAACTTCCTGGTTCAGAGACAGGCATCTGTTCATAACCTCACAGGATGGAAGGGGCCACAAGACCCTCCTTTATCAAGGACTAATCCCATTCATAAGGGCATAGCCTCCTGAAGGCCCCACTTTCTTATATC